ATATTACGTTTACATCCATCAGCATAAAGTAATGAAAGCTTAAAATTGTCTTACTCTGCATCTACATTTGGCCTACATACAAAATACATCATCCCCCTGAAAACTATTTGTGAGGATTTGGAATCCTGTTATGCTCCAAAGTCTTTACATTTTTCTCTATCTCTGTCTTTACACACACACACACGCGCGTGCGCACACACAAGCACGCACGCACGCAGACACACACTTACACACACACACACACACACACACACACACACACAGGACGCACTCTCATCCATCCCTTGAAGTACCTTTCTTGATTGTTTTATGATTGTTGATTTGTTAAGTAGTGTTGTTAATTTTATCCCGTTGGCCTTAGAATTATGGATTAAGTATTTTGAAGCCCTTGACTGCCATTTTTCAATTTATGTGTGTCTCTGAACTTGTATGCTGTGTGTTCACTTTTGCTGGTGCGCTCAGATTCTTCTGTCTTCGACACTGCCAGCAGCCAATTGCAAAACTCTGTAAAATCCAAGAGTATAATAGGTGTAACACATTTCCTGTGTGTATGACAGGAATGTGCTGAGTAGAAATCATCTGGGGGGGAAAAAGGTAAAAAAAAAAAAGAAATAAAAAAGAAGTTAAATGTTTGTATGTGTTTATGCATGCATGTGAGAAAGGTTCGCAAGAAAAATAGGACAAAGTCAGACAACTGAGATCGCTCTAGACATGCTGCAGGGTATACTGCTAAAGTACATCACTGCAAGGCTGGAGGGTTGCCAAGAATGTGTGTGTTTGTGTATGTGAGAAAGTGTGAAAGAGACACAGACAAGGTCTATGTGAGTGTTTCTAAGCGGTAAGAACTATCTGAAGCTGTGCCAGAGTCCAAACAGACTAGCAGTTACTCCACAGAACCTTTGTCCAGGTTTTCCTTCAGAGCTGACAACATTAGTGTGACTACCTTTCCTGCTGGCTTCCAGCCAAACTTTTTTTGTTTGCACGTCAGTTTGTATTACAGATAAAACCACATAAAAAAATCAAAAACATGTCCTGTAAACTCTTTAAGGTATTGTTTAACTGAGCATCTGTGCAAACCAAAAGCTTAGTTGATATATATATATATATATCTTTGGCCTTTGTTGGATAGTGTTAGTGAGAGAGAGACAGGAAACTAGGGGAGAAGAATGGGGGGAGGACATGTGGGAAAGGGTCATGAGCGGGATTCGAACTCATGACCTCCACAATGGGACTGTAGCCCTGCACATGGGACGCCAGCTCAACCAGGTGAGCTTAATAATTAGTTGATATATTTTGACAAGGAAACTAGACCGATCGGCCACAACATTAGCACCAGAGACAAATGAGTGTAAAACATCAGTCAACTCGCTACAATACAATGTTGTGCTCGGAAACTGTGTCCTGACAATCATATGGATGTTACTTTGACACACAGCACTCACGTAGACATTATTTCAGACCAAAAACACTCTAGCAGGACAATGCGCTCCACCAGTCTGCTCAGGGACACAGCAAAAAGCCCAAGGCCTTAAACCTGGTCTTCCAGTTCCAATAAAGGGTCCTTGGTATAAAAAAGCCTGATCCATGGAGGTCACATCCCACAGTCGACAGCATCCGCAGCTGGTGGCCCACTACCAGAAACTATAGAACACCCTCAGAGGTCTGTTTTGGTGGCAGCAGAGGGACCTACACAATATTAGGCAGGGGGATTTAATGTTATGGCTAATAGGACTTTAGTGTCAAGGTTGACCGGTCAATGGTTTCGTCAATATGCTCTAATTGGACCAAACTGGCCAATTGCCATTGTCACTTTCATAAGAAGAAAGACGTTACAACAATAAACCCACATGGATTAATCCACTATTTTCGGCAGCAGAAGACACCTGTTTTCTGTGAACTCATCCAACCTGAGGTCAACTGCTGCCTCTAGCTTGTGTAATGTATGTGTCGACTGAAAGTTCTGAACTAGTTGGCACCACGTCAAAAAAGTAGGTGCAATCTCAGTCGAGCAAGATTTTCTTTGACTGACTGCAGCCCTAGTGGCTGATCGGTACACGCGTTCAGTCCGACACAGAATAACACAAATAAAGGGAGCGCTGAAGCAATCCTATTCACGCTGGCTAAACCCAGCACAATATGATCTATGAGAACATGTCATGTTTTGGAAAGATATATTGTAGATATTCTAGGTAGTTCTTCATAAACCTTCCGGCCAGTCTTCAGTGATTATTAGACTTATCTGTTTCAGTGAGACAGTGCTTTTGATCACATCCATACCAGAGTTTAAAAGAATGATTTAGCACCTTAACACAGTGTGCTTGGAAACTAAAACACATTGTGCCAAGAAGTGCAAAGTGTCAAGTGGATTTTATGAGTGCTCTTATGAACAGAACATAATGTTACAGCAGCAGGTTCATGAATAAAGTTTGCTTAAGGACTATTAAACGGGGAACAGGTTGTGACAGCTTACCTAAACACTGGAATACTTCATGCTTGCTGGAGAAGTTTGAGCTCATATTGCACAGATCTGATATTCAGGTGGCTTTAAATATGCACAAAGAAGTTTCTTAACCTGCCATGTCTTATTATAGTGACACATTTTGGCATCAGGCAGGGCAGGGGTCAGCTATTGGATTGAACCGCTGGAACGATTTTTTAAAGACACGGCTCAGTGAGCGGCCAATATAGTTTTACAGGCGCAGTATGCAGCCCTGTATAGCCCATAATATATATCGCCAGCTGTTTTAAGATTGTACCCAAGCACACATGTATTTTGTCCCATTTGCTGTTGAGCTTTTCTTTTACTGTAAAACTAATTTGGCAAAGAAACATTCAAACACACAGATGTGTGATTTGTTTTGCAACTAGGAAACCTGTGAGGATGAAACTAATGTTGGTATGGATGAAAATAAATGATTAGCATGTGATAGCTGTTCATCTGCAACATATTTATGTGAAGTTGATAATTATATGTGCTGCTGAGTTCATTAAGATTTCACAAGTCTGTCAATTATGTTGCTGTTTGCAGAGGATTTGAAAAACATGACGCAAACATTTTGACACAACATATGGATTCGAAAACTTCAACTTTCATCAGGGGCCACATATTTTTGTTAAAGGGCCCATTGGTCACTATTTGCCCACCAGTGAAGTAGGATTTTCAGCTACTGTGAAGACTGCATCTTTGCCTACTACAAAGTCCATGTCTAACAGTGTAGCATACCCTGATGACCTACAGTGAAGGGTTATGATATATTGTTGTTCATTGTCAACTTTATCATGTTGCATCTTAGTATATTTGTTTAAATCTCAATGAATGTATTAATTGGAGCCCCTGCTACTTTTAACATACAAGTAATGTGGGGGAGTCATAAGTGCAGGCTGAAATCTTCTTTGTATTAAAAATACAAGATTGAACTGAAAATGCAAACAATATTTCTTGATTCCTCACAGGGACCTGCGGCAAAATACATACTAATGGGTCACGCAGCTGATGCATGCGATGTCTGTTTGTGTTTTGACATGGAGGAGGCTTGACTGGTCGACCTTTCCTTTCCTCTCCTGAGGTTTTAATCAAGAATTAATTTAAAGTCCCAGTAGGGTCTGCTCACTTGCTAAATTCAATTTACAACTTTAGAGCCTGCACATGACTTAAGAGAATAGCTTTTTTGTCTGCTACTTGAGTTCCTTTGCATTGCACAGAAATATAGAAATACAATCAATTCTAAAGATGCCCTTTCTTTCTTTCTTTCTTTCTTTCTTTCTTTCTTTCTTTCTTTCTTTCTTTCTTTCTTTCTTTCTTTCTCTTTTTACCAAGGCCATATGGTGTTTCTTTGTTATCTAGAAGACACGTCATGAGTTTTTTTGGGTAGAAAGTGATTATTTTCTTGGAGATAATAATTAGCAAATATATCAGTCTGATACATAGAGCTGGGTTTTTAGAGTTTCAATCAATGTCTTAGGAGGGACTTTAAACAAACCTTTGAATTCTGTTTGCAAAGTAGCATTTTGTGCAAAAGTATTGTATATATACAATAAAGTGGAATATAAAGAAATGAAAGTCATCTACAAAGTCAGAAGAACTGAACTGATTATAAATATATATGAAGACCTATATATCATTTAAACTAACAGAAATGCTGTATGTTTTGTTCTACATGTGTCTAATAAGTTTTCCAGATCAAAGTCATTTAATGTTAGATTTAAGCTGTTTTCAGGAACAACTTTATCTTATCATACTGATCACATTAATTCCACCTCAATTACTTACATACATTCCCTCATGACTTTATGTTGGAAAATATGTAGTCCAAAAGTATGCATATATATTCTGTAACCCACCCAATGAAAGACATTTTTTCTCTGATAGAAATATTTCATGTTTAAATGTATAAACCCACTGCCTGTATGATATGTCAATTGAGAACTCTGTGTTCTTAAATCCTACTCGCTCTGGTGGTTGACTTGTTTGTCTTGGCTGAGAAAGTATGCGCCTTCCGGAAAGCACAGAACTTTTACAGGAGTTTTCCAGGCTCACACACTCTCAAAGTCACATAAATTCTCACTCACAGACTAACATTTACACATTTGTCCGCACACACACATAAAAGACCACCTATTCTGGCGCGAACCAACACAGGCGCCAAACACATCCGCACAAAAGTACACAACAACATCAGACGGGGAGAGAGACAGAGCTTATTTTACCACTGAGTTCAAGGTCTTTCAATGAAAACACAACAGATGTCATGTTTAATTAGAGATATTAGTTTTGGAAGATGCACAAAGGTCCCCTGGTCTTCAGGATTCCTCCTGACACTGCGTTGATTGCATTTTTCTTCATACTACTTCCTATATGTCAGCACTTTACTGCAGTTTTGCTTCACCTCTATTTTCTTTTACTTTAGCATTTTTGCTGATTCTAACGTTAAGCCTCTCTCCCTTTCTCTCTCTTTTTTTTAAACTCTGCTTCCTGTCCTGCCGCTTTTTTATGGTCTCAGACAGGGCTGTTGGTCGCATGTTACCAGGGCTTTGTGGACGTCGTCATAGCGCTGTCACAGTGTCCATATCTGGATGTCAACTGGCAGGACAGTGAGGGAAACACAGCTCTCATCACTGCTGCACAAGCAGGTAACACACACACTCGCACACACTGACAATTTTATGACCCTCTCCGGGCTTAGTTGCACACACAGACGCTGACAGGCTGCTTAGCAGTGCTGTTGGACACATGCACACACAGATACAAATATACACAGGCAACTTGGCACTAATGCTGACACAGATGAACACACAGACGAGCAAAAAAAAAAACACAATGCACTTGCTACACTCGCTCTGAAACAGAAGTGATGAGTATGTTGTCTGACCAGCCGTATGAATGCAGAGCTTTTTCATCCAAAATATTGTAGACAAGCACAAATGTGTTCCCAACCTATTTTAGTTTAGTATTGCATCATAGTTTGACTGTATGTTTGACTTACGAGGTGTGTCAGAAAAGTTCCAGGACTGGTGTCACAAAATATATATCTCAAACCCCAAACTACAAACTACAAGTTTTCCCCTTCAGACGATCAACCAGCATGTCTACAAAGAGATCCTGCGGTGTTTGCTTCATTCAGCTTGCAGGAAAAGAGGCGAGACTTGTGGCAGGACAAGTCGTAGCTGCTTCATCATGACCACACGCCTGCTCACAATGCCCTGAGCATCCAACATTTCCTGGCTGAGAAGAACATCGCTGTGCTGGAGCAACCTCCCTACTCACCCCACCTGGCTCCGTGGGATTTTTTCCTCTTCCCCAAGCTCAAGGGGGTCATTCAGGGGACCCGTTTGGAAGACATGGACGACATCAGATGGCTGTGACGACGGAGCTGCGGAGGATCCTGGAAGAATCCTTCCAGGAGTGCATGGCAGCGCAGCAGAGAAGGCTGGGAAAGTGTGTTAGACTCCAGGGGGGTTACTTTGAAGGGGAAAACTTGTAGTTTGGATTTGAAATATATCTTTTGTGACACCAGTCCCGAAACTTTTCTGACACACCTTGTATGTAGTCCAACCTACTGTACCTAATCTCTCTCCCTCTGTTGTTTAAGGTCACATAACAATCACCAACTACCTGTTGAACTACTACTCTGGGTTGGACATCGAGAGAAGAAACTGTCACGGCTTCACTGCTCTGATGAAAGCTGCCATGCAGGGCAGGATGGAATGTGTGCGCTCGATCATGATGGCAGGTGAGGAAACCGTGTGTAGTCACAGTATGAAAACTCTGTTGTAGTCAGAAAGGAGGAAAATGGAAGATTATAGAGGCAAATGGCACATATAAGAAAGCTGTCAACGTATATCCAGGAATTTGAAAGAAAGAAAGAAAGAAAGAAAGAAAGAAAGAAAGTAAGAAAGAAAGACAATTCGAATAAGTTACAGCTGTGATTACGACTTGTGTTAAAGCGTTAAACAATAGTTTGCAGCATTTGTCTTTCAGGTAATTCCTTTTTTTTTTGCTACTTCTGAGTGAGTCTTTCTGTCAGAACCTTTTTTAACTTGTTTGTGCACCCACTCTCTCCTCTATGTCCCACTTTCTTAACTCACAAGTTAAACTTTCCCCCTCTTCCTTGTGTCCACCAGGAGCTGCTCTGGATGCGAGGGACTTCGGCCGCCACCTGACCGCCAGGGAGTGGGCCTTGTTTACGAGCCGGTATGAGACTGCATGGGTGATGACGCGCCTGATGGAACGCCCCAGTCCCCCTCAGTACAATGAAACATACAGGTAAAACTTTTAAACACCATGTCTGTCTTTCATTAGCAATGTCTCAGGCAGGCAGATTTACAAATAAAATATTGCTGACTTCACTCAAAGAATTATTAGTCACAGTAAAATGGTTGTGCGACAAAACTACGTGAGGTTGTGATGTACCTTTTTCCTCGAGACACTGAGTTAAGTTCTTCTCTCCGGCGCTTTACCTGGGCAACTCCACAAGCCAGCATCTCCAGGAGCTGTCTGATGAACATCGTCTATCCCTGCCAGCTGGCGATGTAGAAAATAAATATTCCCGACTAGCCTTCTAGCTATGCAGTCATGTACAAATCATCTCATCATCAGCGTTTCTAACCAGGTCGTGTCTGACAGATTTACTGCACTTCCTTTTTCTGGCTATTTGCTGCCAGACAAGGGGATTTAGATGTGCAACGCAAGGTAAAAAAAGAAATAGATGTAAGTGTTGGTGCAAATGCCCACTGACTTGTTAAAAATAACAGAACATGCAATATTGCACGTGCATTAAGCAACACAAAATGCAACACCAAAGCAGTCTTGAGAGAAGCTAGGGTGTACTCTGCAGATTTGACTTCAGTGCCTCTTTGCAGAAGATTGATGTCAAACGTGCTCTCTCAGTCTAGAGTGGCCCCCACTGGCATCACTGGTGGCCAAAGCCCAGGAGCCCCGTGGCTGTCTAAAGCGCCTGTCAGACACCGTGCGGAACGTCTTCAGCATCGCAAATGTCACCAACCCTGAGGATGAAGGCGTTATCGACCACATGGTTGCTATTACAACGGCCATGAGGAGCCCTTTCATTGCTGTGGCATGCCACACGGTGAGTAAACAAGCTCGAGAATATCGTTATTCTGCATTATTCATTTATTTATTTTCCATATTTATTCATTTAGTTTACACATCTATCGCAACCTGCATGTCCTTCACTTACTCCTTCACCCAAAAAAGCATTTTTCATTCATGAGCTGAGCGAAGGTGAAGCAGAAAGTATAAACACTCTTTGTGATAGGGAGGCATTTTTAAGGTGAGGAGAATCTGCAGAGTTGCTCTGCTTTGCTTTATTTCTCAGTATAATTGGTGATATCAGAACTCATTTTCTTATCATGGGACATTCACGTACAATATGGAAATCATTTTCCACAGACTTGAAATTTGCGTCCTTGTGCAAATCAGTTCACTTTTTTTTCATCAATAGTAGAATAATGTAGTTCTGTTATTGTAGAACTGATGTGCAAATAAATGAATGATAATATTGTGGTAATAGCACTTTAAAGGATAAATGTGGCACGAATTTATCTTTTATTTTATCAACAAATTCTCAGTGTTTTTTGGGATTAGTTCATAATAATTATGGGATATAATTAACGCCCGCTTCATCCGATAAGTAGATTATTCATGCAAGATTAGCAGTACTGCAATACTGAAAACAAAAGGTTGATGGAGCTCTGCTTTTTGTAAAGAAAACATCCACAGTTATTACTATTGCTACTACAGTGCTACCAATATTACAGAGACTATTATAGGAACCGCTGGCTTTGTTTCAGGTGTGTCCTGACAGTCCTCCAAGTGTGGGCAAACGGCGCTATGCAGTCCCTGAGATCATCCGCCATCAGCGCGCCAAGGAGCTCCGCTCCATCAACCCTGACAGGGTGGACAGTCACCTTAAACTCTTCCAGAACTCTCGGGTCACACTAGTGGCCAAGACCTCAGCAGACCGCCGAGCCAGTCTTCAGACCCAGAACCTGGTGCCTCGACACAGGAGCCCCAGCCTGGGTGTGGTGGCTTATAACGAAGCCCTGGAGCTGCGAAGAACCAGCCTATTGCCTATGCACATGGTGCTGAGGAGGAGCAGCGTCAGACCGGGCTTCAGCATCCCCAAGGTGAGAGTGTCCAAAGCCCCCACACCGACTTATGAACCGGAAAAGATTCGGAGGAAGAGCAGCGCCAAAGATGGAGGGGGGAACCTGCTGCAGATCCCCAAGTGGCGGTACAAGGAGCTAAAAGAAGAAAGGAGGAAAGCAGAGGAAGCCGAGAGGAGGAGGCTGGAGGCTGTCACCAAGAGACACATTGCTGCCGGGAAAAGGAAATAATATCATTACCTCAGAGGATGTCTCGTACACTAACCCCCCCCAAAAGACAAAAGCTAGACAGGCTATGAAGTCAGACAGATTTGGCTTTAATGTTTTTAAGCAATATACAGTATGAGCTCAGGGTGGTCTTAGAACGACCAACAGTGTTTTTAAATGAGGACTGAGGGTTGCTTTTGTTTGCTCAGTTTTGCGACGGGGGGGATGCTGACTGAAAAATGGCTGCCACTATGTTGACAGCATTACAAGTGCACAACGCTTAGTGTCCTTTATGATGTCAAACAGCGAATACCCAGGGGATTTGATACTTGAAATGTTTCTAGCTAATTTATTTTTAATATTTATTGCTTTTTATTGGATGGCCAGGTGTATATTTTGTTATGCTTCGGGTGCTAACGCTGCAGTGTACTGGTGCAGAAGACATGGTTGGGAACAGAAACATGCCCATCTTTCCGCTTTAAAAAAGTGGAAGCAAATTCATAAAACTCTTCTGGAATAATGTTTTCAAAATATTCAGTGAAGAACACGCATCAGCGTGTCATATTGTATGAGAAAGCTAAAGATAAGCTGTGTATAGAATCTAATGGCATTTGCCGGCAACTATTTTTTTTAGATGCTTTATGTTTTGCTTTAAATTGAGAAATCCTGAATGTATTTTGCATATGTGTTTTATATTAGAGATTTTAATGCTTTTTGATGACAAACTTCATTTTTAAGAAAAAAAATCATTACGGACATTTTTCACATAAGCAACTGTTTTCAAGTCTTAAATGTTTGAGACCAAGACTGAAATGTAGAGTAACACTTACATCTTGCCAGGTAGGAAGAAAGTTCAAATTACCTCCCAAATGTTTACATTGCAAAACCATATTAACACTGGTTATATTAGCGATGAACCATCATGTACCGACCGAGACGTGTGAGTTTGGTGTATACAGGTTATGGATGACGCAAACTAAATAAACACTTCTGCTAACAGTGACTGTGGATGTGATTAAGCCTTACGTATATTACTTTTTTCATGATTTCGTGTCTCGTGCTGGAAATCTCAGCATTACATGTGTTTCATCCAGTAAGAAAAAAAAAGTCAATATTAATGTAAGTTTTGAGATACTAGGGCGAGCCTCGGTCAATGTGACAGTACATTTATTACTGAAGTGATAATCCGTAACATATGGACCCCTCTGATAAAAACCGGCCGGCCCATTATGGAGCAAGAGGTCAGTTTCCCGTTTTAGCATTAAAACAGAGAAAATAATGGGGTGAAAAATAACGATGATTTAAACGCAGAGCCACAGGGAGAAGCAGTGATATAACATTGTCTAGAGTTTTGAGAGCACAATTTCACGGTCCTTACTCCTCATGGCGATTGCAGCTTAAGTGCTATCCAAGAGTGTGTGTCTAATATACATGGTGATGAGTTGCTAAGGGGTTACAAGGGCACCGCGCAGCCAAATCGTTTTCTTCAAATAAACTTCATTGACTTCAGAGTGGCAATCTTGCTTGGATACTGCCCAGAGGAAATAATTTGAACATGACAAAAGATGAGAAAACTGCCCATTTACTGAACTCTTGAAACTGTAAGTGGCTGCAGGATTAACATATTTAACATTAACATAAGAAACTGTTTCATATGGAAATGGCTTTTTTTTTGCTGGCAGTGCAGTATCATAACCAACAATGTCCTTTGCGTGCAATTTGTTATGAGGCATCAAAGATTTACTGACCATGAATATGAGCTATTTGCATTCGGTCGGCGAAGTTTTTCTGTTAAATGGTGAAAGGTTTCTCCGGATTACACCATGAAGTACGTTTAGATGCATTACAGGCTTACAGTTATGAATGGCTATTGAAGTCTGCTCAGGACTTTATTGTTGTTTGTTTGTGCATATTTTTGCTCAGATGTCTCACTCTTTACTCCAACAGAATGTACAGGAGTGAGCCTGTGTTGTGTGCGTACGGGAAAAGACACGAAACCCGAATGCATCAGATAATATTTAGGCCATCGATGTAGCTCAAACAGCTGTTGGCTTAGATTGTAACCTGAGATTATGAAGCGCCACAGGCTTGGTCAGCGTTTCCCCTCACGCCCCTCCTCCCCCCCCTCCCGGCCACGACCCAAATCTCTCACAGAAATTCACAAGTGGCAAAAATAAACAGGGCACCATCCCCTGTGTAGTACGACAGCTATTATGTCATGCTGCGATGCTACGGGCTGGGTGGGATTTTGACAGTGACCTGATTCGAGATCAACTCTGAAAGAGCGCTTCTGTCAGACCTGTGAACTTGAACGGGAGGTAATCCTTAACTGGGGCCCTCTGCTGGTTGGTTTTGGTATAACACTGAAGGCTTTCCTCAAGGTTGAAGGAGCATTTGGTCATGAATAGAGATATTCCATCATGGGATGGACTTTTTTGAGTTAACATTGAGTTACATCACCTAGAGACATTATTCTCACTATGTATGCAGGAGGAGTGGCCTCTGTAAGCCTTTGATCAATGCTTTTTTATTCGCATTTGTGCTTTTATTCTTTCCCAACTGGTGTGAATAAGTGCTGGCACACAATACAACATTTTAGAAAAAAGTAAATCAAGATAAATATATTAAATATGTTAACAAAACACATTGCTAAATAATCATTCTTGTTTATATCCCTTAAGAAGTCTAAAAAAGTACTTTAATATTCTTACTGGTAAGTTTCAGTGGGTACTGCTAAAATACTACTAACAATATAATAGAGCTTATAATAAAATATTTTTTTTTAAATGGCATTTTATGTTTATTTATATCTTTAAACATTTTAATTGAGACATATTTAAATACATGAAAGATCAATAGTGCTGTGAAGACCTTCATGTTGATTTACAAGTAATATTGGATGTTGATAAATTATAGGATGCAGTGGTCTTTAGCTACTTACATATAAATTACAATTAGAATAAATTATTAATTTTTTTTCTGGCAAATTTAACAGCAGTGAACCTGATGTGAGGCCTTATTAACAATGTATTCCCTACATTATTATCCTTATGATCACAATTATTAGTCTCTCCATTTTCTCGTGTAATCGATGGCATTGCTCAAGGAATTAGAGCTATACAATTATTTTTATAACATCCGTGATCATATTCTGAAATTATGCTGTGATGCAATCAAGGATAAAGTAGGTCCTTCCTAATGATTTCCATTCTGAAAAGTATGAATAAATGATCATGTCCCACAATTAAATCAGCATCAGAGTTATCTACAATGTGTGAACTAAAAATGAACTTCAAGTGGCGGTGCCCTTGCTGATTAAAAAAAAAAAAGTGAGGAAAAGTTGGCAGGGAGCAGCTCTCCTACATGTAAGAGAAAATCTTGTCCTAGGAGGTTTGATAACAACAAACGATAAAATAAAAACACTACAGAAAATAGGCTGGCTTCACATAGAATCCTGTCAGTGTAGGGAAGCCACTCATAGTATGTGTAAGGCTTTAAATGTATGTCAAGTGGAGGTAGTTTGGTTTTGGTGAAACTGTAGTCAAAATGTCTTTATAACTTGGTCATTCTGACCTCGCTGTCTTATTGACATGACCCTGAGCAAATCCAGGAAGGTCCTGACCCGGCTAACTGAAATATCTTTCCCTCCCACTGTTGCCAGTTGACTGTACTGTAGCGCCGGTGGAAGGTTTTCAGGCGGTTCGGTCACAGTATCGACCAGCCTCAACTAGCTGAAGCCAGTTTTGATGTTCCTGAGGACCACATGGCCAACAGCTGGTGGTGTATGCTCAGCACTAATGTAATAAAGTCCCTCTAAATGAGACCCTCTTGGTGCTGTGGCTAATGTGTCTTTTGTACACAGCAGCCATTTTCGGATAGCCTAGAGGGATGTTGTGAACCGATATCGGGCACCGGTACCAAAAATACCAACCTCAGAGTGAATAACATCAGGATGAAGACGTTACAATGAACGCTCACGGGAGAAAACGTAAACCTACACAGCTACAAAGTGACGCTTAATATTCCAGTTTAAATTTTAAGGGGAATTTAAATAGACAAACACAATTTAGTTAAATTCAACAAGCTTTTTTTTAAAAACACTGTTAAAAATGAATAATTTTTCCCCCATTTTTGAATAGCAGATGCTTTCTTTTTGCTCTCAGCTCAGGGTTCACTACAGACAACTCCAAGCAAAAAAAAAAAACATATTTTGGCTTCTGATAGCACAAACACAGAGCCTGGCATAAACAAGAAGAGAGATTCTTCATAAAGGCGGGTATGCATAGTAGCTTAGGCTTGCATCTATCGTTTTTTTTTTTATGTTTACCTAACATCCAGTATCTTTACGCCGCTTAATCCTCACTAGGGTCGCGGGGGGCTGGAGCCTATCCCAGGCAACTTAGGGCGAAGGTAGGGGACACCCTGGACAGGTCACCAGTCTATCACAGGGCTACACTTAGAGACAGACAACCAAGCACACTCACATTCACACCTACAGACAATTTAGAATCACCAATTAAACTCAACATGTTTTTTGGAGTGTGTGGGAGGAAGCTGGAGAACCTGGAGAGAACCCACGCTGAATGGGGAGAACATGCAAACTCCACGCAGAAAGATCCCAGTGTCCCACCGGGACGCGAACCAGTGACCTTCTTGCTGCGAGGCAACAGTGCTAACCAACTGCGCCACCTTACAGTCAATCACCTAACAGCGAGTTATTATCTGTTCTGCAGTTGGATGGTCATAGTTGCATGCGAACAAATGTCTGTAGCATTCATGTTACTTGCTAACTACTGAGCAAATATTTACCAGCTGGACTTGCAATAAAGTACAATTTCATCCTTGCCGAAAGTGAGTATTTAAGTATAATTTAATCCAATTTATCACCTTCATTTTACATTCCCACAGCTAGACATGCCAGAGGTGGGTCGTATAATACATTTTTAGCAGTGTCTCACTCTTATTCTGCTCTTCCAGTCAGTCTAATAAGGCATGGCAGGGGATGAAAGGTCTGCCACACTGAGAGAACTATATACAACCATGGAGAGTCAAGGAGATTGCGTCTACTTTAATGAGGAGTTTCAGCATGCTGACAGAGGCTCGCACCAACTAAGCCTGCACTGGCTGGTTTATTGGGCTAACGTAAGCTGACAGAACACCTGGTTGCAGATGCTTGTGTAAAGATGGATTACATGCGCCAACACCTGGTGCACACTGTGTATGTGTGCGTGTTTGTGTGTGTGTGCGTGTGCTGAAGGCAAAACAGGAGACAGCTCTCGGAGAGATGCTTCTGTTTCATTTCAAAACACCACCTGAGCCCTAATCCCTCAGTGCAGGGTGCTAATTCACCACGGGACGCTCAAATGCTTTAGGTGAGGCGCAGGACACAATCCATCAAATAAAACTAGTCTGAACTTTTTCAGAGTACAAAAATATTAGAACTTTATCATGTACCTTCTCTCGAGATGAGATGGAATTTTTTTTTTTGTAGTGTGACAAATGAGTTTTCATGCGGTCATCCATAAATCCATTCAAATAAAGACAAGCTGAAAAACGTGTTGTTTTTTTGAAAGATAGTCTATATCTTTATTTATATGACAACCACACCTAATACCTAAGTCCACATAATGGCTATAGATTTTTACAATTTGAACAATTTACTCAAGAACTGAGAAAAAAACAAAACAAAAAATAAAACTCTTTCAAACTTAATTAAATTAACATATGAAATCACTCCTTCTTGGCAAGATAAATTTCTTTCTTGGAAACCTGAACATTAGTGTTGCAACAAATGACCATTGCGTGTAAGGGGATGGGTGATTAAGGAAAAGGGTGATGCGTGTATTTTTGTGTGCTGATATGTATCATTTCTATGGAAATCCTAATCTGATTTAAGGGGCTCATACAGATTTCTGATATGCAATGAGCCATATCTGCCAGAACTGTGTCAAGTAGAAACGAACGTGTTGCATTTTCCTTGATAAAACATCTCATGGCATCCTTGTTCAAACACTTGGAATGTAGAAAAATCTGCTGTCCTTTTTTTCTTCTTTTACGCTGTTCTCCTAATATGTTTCCATTTTTACCTTCATCTGACAGTTAACCATCCCACAATTTCTTGAACTGCTTCCCTGCGATGCTTTATTCACCTTGCAATCAACTCCCTTATGACTTTGAGGCTAATGTTAACACAAAGCATCCCGCAGCAAGCGGTTTCCTTTGGGTTCATTACATTTTTTGGCGGCATTTTGATTGTGTCGCAGATTAAGTGTAAATTCCATGGGAGTCAAATGAGCCTGAAAAATGCTAAAATCTAAGCAATGAGGCACTGCTGGTTGACTTTTACTGTAAAACAGGTTGCATGTGCATTAAAATGTGTGAACATTGCCAGGGACGGTAGATAGCATTACATCTGAGGCAGAGAATGGTAAGACTCTTCTCTGTTAAATAAAGGTAAGAACAAAGACATTTTTAGGAAAGTGTGGAAAAAGCTGAATAAGATGTGCAAAGGCTCAGAAGCTAATATAGACTCCTGCTTGCTATTTTCAGTCATAACACCAACAGCATGCATCAAGTAGCGTCTTGCATAATGACAGCTGCCATTACAGAGCAACAGGTTATCTATGATATCTAGAATATACATCTCTCTTTCAGGTGGGTCTTTCTGGTTTTGATATAGTGGCGAACTGGAATGCTTGTCAAAGTTGCAGGTAACCATAGCCCTTAGGCTAACTATTGGTTTATGCTGTCATGTAATTGGTGAGTTTTAGTCTCTCTGGTCTGTGCTGTACCTGTAGCTCACTGACACAACTGATTCTCACAATTGGTCTTTTTGGTTTATGGTGAAGCTAAACTGTTGTTGACTGAATGATTTGTTGATTGGTTGTTTTGGTTGGTGAAGATCATAGGTAGAAGGCTGGAGCCTGGATTCATCATCACTGTGAGGCAACTGGTTGATTAGTTGGCCTGATTGATAGGTTGCTGTGATTGGCTGGTTGTGGCGAGAGTTCCCCTAACAGACTCAGATCTGAGATCAGTTTCTCTGCTAATATTTAATCTGTGAAACAAAACCATTTTCGAAGACTCTTCACCCGTTTATATCACCTTAAGACTGCACAACTGCTCAACAATCCTTCTTAAGAAGACAACCTCAAAGTGCAGAACTGCTCGTGCAGCACCAATGCAGCAGGGGTATAAAGGGTGGGGCTTCTACGACGGCTTGTGGATTGGCATTGGGTGTCTGTTGCATGCAACGCAACAGGCAAACAAAAATTACTCTTATTATTTGGAAGAGATCTGTGCCTGGTGGGGAACCATCTTCATCCTTTGTGTTCCATTGGGAAGGCCGGCTGGTGGTGGTGGCCATGAAAGCCTGCTGCCTGGCTCACTTGCGGGGCTGGTGGATGTGCTGGTTGATGTGTTGGGTGTGGGGCAGCTTGGGGACACCAGGCTGGGGCTTCTGGTGGGCCACCTGTGCAGCTGCTGGGGTGAAGTCCTTGTCACCCTAAACAAAGCACAGCCAGTTAGTAGGTTGTAAGAGCAGAAACTGCATTCACTGTTTTGCACAAAAAGTTGACACTTATGTCGTATAGTCTACAGTTTGCTACGATTAACACCATAGCAGACCTTCCAAAGATCAGCTAGAAGGGACTGAAAAAACAAGTCCATTTTGTTCTTTATTCTCGATGGTCAACATAAAATGCTGAAATGTCATCCAGCATCACTCAATTTCTTTTGTTTTTAAGCCCATAACCATCACAAAATGCATAAGAAACACAAACACTCAGCAGCTGGTGTTCCTGCAGGTCTAGCTGCAAATAAATCCCATTTGAAATCCCAGCCCCATACTTTGGATTCTTTCCATCGTGGTGTTTACTGTACCTGTGTGCTCAAATCCCGAATCACACCATGAGAAACCCATTTGTAGATGTTTGCTTTTTTTTTTTATTTGGGAGTTGAGAAATTCTTGAGGTTGCTACCAGACAGTGAAACCTTCAACACTGTTATTGACTTTGCTGCAGACAAAATGAAGGTAACGCTGTTTGTAGCTGCACATGCAACACTTGCACTGTAAATACAAGAGTCCAATACAGGAACAGTAAGGGTTCTTTCTGAAATATTACTGTTAAGAATCTTTTGTTTTGTAGTTTGTTTCTAGAAGCAGCACTTTGTACTCTTTCCCCACTAATAATCACAATAACAAAGAGGAAATTCCCAAAGTGCACGAAGGCGACAGCATGAAGCACTCATCTGCTCCCGCTCATCTGTTCCGCAAAATCTATTATTCCAAGAAAACTGCACATAAACAGCCTCACTTCTAAATCGGATCAAAGCAGGAATTTGATCCAAGTATTTTAATTGGCAACTTGCTTCGATCACAACTGGATTCCTTCCTCCTTTTTTTTTTTCATCCTCCCTTCTTTCTTTTCCATCTTTACCTGCCAGCTTTCTTTTCTTCCTTCCTTAACATCTCAATTTCTTACACCTGCTCCCTCCTCACTCATTTTGTCCTGTGTTTTTCTCTCGCCATCGTTTTACGTCTCGCTTTCTTGTGTGCTGAGATGCGCTCGGTGAAAGAAGTGCACACTCATATTTATGGGTGTGAAAAGGAGGTTTTGCATACAGTACAGCTGTATAGGTTGAAGGTGGGCGGCGAGTTTGATTATAAAGCTGAGGAAAGCGAGTGCTTAAAGATAGTATAAAAACCACAGAGTAAACACACATTACATCGCTGTCTGCGTGACTAAGTGGATTACAGAAGGTTTTAATTCTTTCATGTGAAACACTGGATTTTAGCATTTAGCTAAGTTGCTGTCTTTGCTCATTCCGCCTCATCTGCCCAGATGTTACCATAAGTGGATGCTACTACTCCGTCATAAATATAATAACCCAACACATGGTTCCTTGATATTCTCTTTTCTTCGGATGTCCACATGGATAAAGTTATATAACCACTTTAATCAACACACCGCCTGTCTCCCTGAGCCTCTCACTGAACTTTACTCGCCCACCCCATCCTTGACTGACCCTAATCCTCTCTGCATGTGTGTGTCGGTTCTGTACTGTATGTGCGAACGTGCGCTTGGTTTTGCAGTTTGTGCGCGTCTGCGTGTAGGTGGGCACAAAGCATTTACAGTGTGTTTGTGTGTGTGTGTGTGTTTCTTTCATTTAAAGCCAATCCCACAGCTAACTGCAAGGGACGGGGATGGAATTGACCTCCAATTGCCCTTCTTCTATCTTTTGAAGCTCAAAGCTTCCCACCCAACCAGCAGTCCTACTGATGCAGAGGTATAGGAGGGAATACAACAAATTAACCGTATTACCGCGCCACACTGTGAATGGAAGTCAGGGTGATTGGCGAGGCATGTCTTCAACCTCCTTTTCACCGTTTTTCTTTCCAGGTCAAGGTGGCTCCGGATTGCTTAATTTGTTGAATTTTTCACATGAATGCAAGTTAAATGTCCAATAAAGACGTTGTCAAAAAGTTGAACAACAATGGTGGAGGATCTTTTAATTCCTTCCATGCATTTTTAGAATTAGTCTGTCAATCACTTTTTTCCCTTTTTTGTAAATATATGCATCTTTTTTCTGTATTCTGAATTGAAACTGATAGGTATTCTTCCTCCATTTGAAGAAAAAAAAAAGATGACTCATCCGTTAAGATGCACTTTTCAACCATTAATTAAATCGTGGCTATCATGAATAGACACTGTGTCAAAGAAAAATCATCAAAACAGAATTTCTCTTCCTTTCAAGGACTCTCTTTTGTTCAGTTATGATGTTTTTTTTGTGGGGTGCAGACCCTACAAAATCCTACTCTGGACATGAGGATGGAGCACATTTATGATCTGTATTTCCACCATTGCTGGGTTTGGTAGTTTAACAAAAAAAAAAGGAAGCATATTCACAATCCCATTCTGCCATTGAAGGAAAATTTGAAAGTTCATTGCCAGAAGAGGGCTTACTTTTTCTTTTTTTTTTTAATTTTAAGAAATCCCAGCAGGTTTCAAACTATATACACAGGGTCCCTCACACACTGAAGTATTTCACTTAGCTCCTAAAAGGCTTTTCTGAGGCTTTGTGCACTGCTAGCCTTTGGGTGTGATGGCAGTGATAGGGGCCGAATGGGAAGGCTAGAGGAGGATCCGGGGATAAATGGGATGTCTGCCACCTTCTGATATCACTGCAATCTTCTGCAAACAATCTGCCTGCTCTGACACACACTGACGCACACAAACACACACACGCTACCCGAAGAGTCAAGGACGCTTTTTACACACACATATACAGGCAAAAAGAATTAAACAAAAACAGCCATTCACAGACTCTGACCCCCTTTCCAAAGCGGCAGGTCAAGGCTCTAAAAGCCTACACACACACACACACACACACACACAAACAAACACACACACAAACACACGCACACACACACACACACACACACGGGGTTAATACAGTTAAAGTAATACATGTATGATATAACATAATCCAGAATTCTGCAATAAAATGAACTGCTGGCTTATGCAGAGCTTGCGATGTTCACATTGTGTTAAAACTTTATCAGAGAGGTGTGGATTAACCCCGCGGTCACTGTATATCTTCCATCTCATCTCATGTTCATCCTCTACGCCGATCATAATGTCATGCATCACGATCTTTATATTTACATTACTCTAGCACATATATATATATATATATGTACATGTATATATATATATATTAGATACAGCTTCTTCTGTTTCTCTACTTTGCTGCTTTTGTTTTGTTTTTTTTGTTTATATCATTAAGATTTACAAATAACTCAAATGAAAATAAACCCTCCACATTTGATCTCCTTTCCCCCCCTTGTCTTGGCACCGATACTCCTTCCACTTTCTTTTTGTCCCCTGCTTTTCCTCCCATCACACTTTTGTTCTTCATGAGCCTCTGCTGCTCCCCGTAGAGCTCCTGTCCCAGATATAAACCCCCTTATAATGCTTATTTCAACACTACTGGTGGTCTGTGTGTGTCTGAGAGGATGTGTGTGTTTTACCTTTGTAATCACTCCAGACACGATCACGGGGGCCTTTGGTGGACTAAAAGAGAAAAAAAGAGAACATTTTGAAGATATTTATCATTATTGGGATTCATACACTTCAGTTTGTGTGTGTCCAGTGTGCAGGTCAAAAGGTATGGCTCACTGTAAGTTTACCTATCTGGCGACATCAATTCCCCCAAAAGTGACACAGTGCCAAAATACGAACATCCCAAGTTGTCAAAACACATAACACCCACAGTCCTGACTCTCTCTGGCTGCACACACACACACACACACACACCGGATGGACCTGCCAGCAGCTTAAATAGCTCCCATTCATTCTGGCCAAACACTGGAGCTCACAGCTTCTGGATGGAAAGCATGAGAGGAGAGAGAGGAAGGGAGGGAAGGAAGGAGAAAAAAAAATGGGAGAAGAAGAGAGTTAAAGAGAAGGATGATGATGAAAGAAAAGATTTAGGTAGGGGGAGTGAAAAGAGTAGAAAAAGAATTTTGGACAAGGGAGGAGAAGGAGGGTAAAGGCAGGTCAGGGCAGATAGAGGAGGTTGGAAAGGGAGGGGGGAGCAGGGAGAACAGGGGGAGCGAAATACTTCTATAATAACAGACTGTTAGAGGAGACGAAAAGAGGATGGAGCAGCCAGGGAGGCACTCAGACACAGAGGGAAAGGGATGGGAGAAATGGACGAAGAGGAGGAGGAGGAGGAATGCGGAACCTGAGGTAAGCAGCGACCTTGACATGACAAACGAGCGCCGTCTAATTTTACGGCATCGTCACCCGCGGCAAAAGAGTACAGTTATGTTAGCCACCTTCAAAACTCCCCTCAAAGACATCAGCTGTAGCAGCAGCAGCAGCAGCAGCAAGCATGTCCGACTTATAGCGTACCTCATTAACAGCCTCAATGTGTCCAAAAGAAAAAAACAAAAAGATGAAAAGTTTCTCACACAGACTGCAATCTCAGCAACAGGATCTAAACACTTAAGAACATCTGAAGCATCTGCTGCTTACTTTTTAATATTTCACCATGCACAACCTTTTTTTATAATCATGGTCAATTAACAGTTATGGATTTTCAACACATCTGTCTAACCTCAATCTCAGCAATCAACATCTTGGCACTTGACAGCCTTCTGCTACTTATCTTAATGAGAGTGTTTACACCTTGCTATTAAATTAATGCTCGAATATGCTGAATTTCACTGATTATTCCTCGCTAGCCACTTGTCAAAATGTGAGGTTGAGAGGTTCTCTATTAGCAATTCAATTAACAAAAACGTGGCATATAACCACCACAAGTGTTCCTCGTTCAAATTAACTCCCCGCTAGTTGTGAGAGGTCTTGAAAATGGAGTTTTAAACATTTTAAGGTTACCTGAGGAACAAATGGAAAACAAATCAGCACGATAGAGAGAGAGAGAGAGAGAAAAGGTGAGAAACGCCAACAGGAGATTCACTTTGTATGTTTGACTGCAAGAACGTGTCAGCAAGTATCTGCTTTCATTACGCAGATGATAGTTCAGTGAAAAATGGCATGTTAGCAATACAGGACTCCTCATTTATTCCAGCAGGCCCTTCTAGCTGTGAGATCGCTTCTACTGGCTGGATGTTGAATGAAAACAGCCCCGTTAAGCTGCTTTTCTGAAAAACAAAATGGGGAAGATGTATTTGAACAAGATGCGTCAGAGGTATCTTTATTAGACCTTGATCTAAATACACATTTACACATATCGAAGTTTTACACCGTGTCACTGAGACGTGCCGTACACATGAACAGCAGCTGCCTCAGTTTCAATTTCAGCTGAAGCTACAGCGAGGTGCAACACAGTGGGGTTGAGGTGAACAGATATTCTCAGTTGGATGATGCGTTCACACACTGAGACAGCGTGAGCCACGATGTATCTCATGCTGGGCTGTCACATGTCTCTATTCAGCTGAATGTGTAACCCCATTGTGCAATCTGTGGCTAAATCCTGAAATAGTGAAAAAAAAAAGTCTGCCAAGTGTGAGCACAGCAATTATATACAATTATAGCACAGATGAAATAGTTTCATCATAGTTTTCAAAACGGTGCAAACTGCAACAATTAATCAATCAATCGATTAAATTATTTGAAAACTATTTTGATAATCGATTATGGGTTTGAGTAAGTTTTGAAGAAAGAAAGTCCAAATCATTTGATTGCAGCTTCTTAAATCTGAATGATTTCCAGTTTCTTTGCGGACGAAACATCTGAAGATGTCATCTTGGTCTCTGGGAAATTATAATTGACATTTTTCCCCATTTTCTGGCATTTTACAGACCAAACAACTAATTATTTATTCCAGAAAACAATCGAGAATGAAAATAATTGTTTGTTGCGGTTCTGCTCGTTACTGGGGTTGGGCTTTAAAGCAGAGGGCAGACAGATAATAAACGTCTAGACAGACGGACAGGAGTGATGGCATTAAGCCTGTCAGAGAGACAAGCACTTAACTCCTTTAAAAAAGTGTGAAACTTGTTTTAGGTCAGACAGAAAGCAAAACAACAGTGTAAGCTCTTCCCCTGACTGGCTAAACACACAGATACTATACGGTCACAAGCTGCAGACAGGCAAACATGAATGACAGGTTTTAGCCACGCTTGATAAACAGACAACAGACACTCAGTTTAAGACTTTTTAATCATGGATTAGCAAAATTGCACTACTACAAGCCCTAAGACCCTGCTCTAAATACCACACAAAAAGTATTATCCTTCAGATTATGCTACCGATACCCTTTCTTTCCCCCATCTATGCTATCTGTATGGCTAAGAGAAAAGCCATACAGAAGAGAGGGCAAAAAGAGGAAGACGCCAAAAGTGACAAACATCTCTGCTGCGGTTTTGTGTGTCCGGGAGGAGTGAGGCTGCGTTTATGGGCCGAGAGCGTCTGCAGGGGGCAGTAGAGAGCCGTATGGAATCCTAGAGAGGAGTCGCTTTGTGCCAGAAGAGGGGCAGAGTTACAAGAAAAAAAGGGACAATGAGGGAGGAAAACAGTGAAGGAGATCGAGAAAGCAAATTGTAACTAATAAATCAAACGGTGAAATGTGTCTTAATTCATCCGTGTGTTGTCTCTGTCTTCAGCTTTAAAGCCACTAGCTACTGCCGCCACCCCACCCATCTTCTCTCTGTGCTTCAGCAGAGCAGGAAGTTTGTTGCCGTGGGCGAGGTGGTGGTTGCCATAGAAACTGATGCCTGTTGCCTGTCTCCCCTCCTCCTCCTCTTCCTCCTCCTCCTCCCTCTCCTCTCAACTTTTCACCACGAGCTGTCAGCTTACTGCACATTTCACCACAGTTCCTACGTATCAAGTGTGTGCGTGCAGCGATTTAGTCAAGCGTACACGCAGCATCACCCGCTTTTTTTCCTCTTTCCTAAGTCTCTGGGACATATCCACCTCTCACCAGAATATGTAGGAGAGGTAACAGAGCAACCGACGCAAAGCTTGCAATCACCTTCAATGCATTCTTTTTTTTTTTTTTTTACAAGTTCAGCTGACGGTCTCATCCAAATAAAATGCGTCTTTACTTTAAATAGACGTTATGTGACAATACAACCAAGCGCTCACTTATTTAGCTCCTATGTGTCTCCTCCTTAAGCTTCTCCAACTTCACATTGTCACAGATAAAGACACTTTACCTGGATCTTCAGCAGATTTAGTCCTCATGCATTTCAAAAACAGATTCACCTGACAGTTTGTGGGCAAAAAGCCTCTGCTGGGTCACCAGTTTTCTCTGGCTTATGTCTCCCATCCTTGACTGTATCTCATTCTTTGCCACACTCTATCCCTTACCTGTCCTTTTTCATATCTTCATATTGCCACGGCTTCCCTAATAATCCTCTCCTCCTCGCCATAATCCCAGCCACCTATCTCTCTCTCTCTCTCTCTCTCTCTCTCTTTGCCCCATCTGTCCATCTCGGCTAGATTGGGTACGGCAGGTGTTCCCCTGACTACAACGCTTCACTGGCTGCTACTAATGCGAAATTTACCCAGTAGCCACCTGCTAGACGTCCATCAGCGTGACACAGAGAGGGACGGACAGAGCGCGCGTGAGTGAGCGATTTTTCACCGACTGTATTTACTGATGGAGTGCGGCTAGTCGGCCTCTCTTTTTGGATACGCTGACAGGTAATTTTTAGTTAAAAGATAAACATTTCACAGGGGGGGAAGGTAAAAGTGCATTTACACAGCAAGGCCGAGAGAGGTTTATCAAGCTGGAGGCAGGTTTAAAATGGGTCTTCTCTGTGATTAAAATGCACTATTTGTCTAATTTATTTACACAGCCCTGGTAATGATTCCTGTTTTTTTTTTTTTCTTTGAGGACTGCAAGCTCTAAAAGAAAATATGTGGAAGAAACTAAGTGACATAAATTCGAGTGCAACTATTAAACCCTCGATGACCTCGGTGAGGCAGTTTAGACATAAAGAATTATTATTATTATTTTATCTGTGCAACTTAAAAACCCATCCATTACATGTTGAGGAAAGGCTACAATCTAAGCAAATAGTGAAAACAGTGTGGAGTTTTTTTGTTCAATTTCTTTTCTAAATGAGAAGGTTCTGACTTTTGCACTACACTGATGAAGTTTTTATATTTATTATTATTTCATTTACAGAAGACACAATTAGTTGATTCATCAGTTATTGTTATTTTCTTTATTTATACAGGTAATCTCATTGAGACACAGTTTCTCATTCTCATGAGAGACCTGTTTGTAAATAACAACATTTAATACACAATGAGTTAAGTGCCAAAAAATGACCAGTTTGCTTATTTACATTTCCAGCAAATGAAACTAGAATAAAAAGCTACATTTCTCTGTTTTATATCACTGCTGACTGAAGATATTTGGATTTTGGACTCTACAAAATATCACATTTGCCTCTCGGAACATGTGATGAGTATTTTCAGACATGAAACAACACACTGATTGTTTGAAAGTCAAACTCAATGGAAATTATTGTTAGACTCGAGTTGTTTTTTTTGTTTTTTTAGATGTACAGTATGACTCCACATCCCCTGAAACAACATGACAAAATAAGGAAGTTTGAAAGCCAGGAATGGCCGTCCACACCCTGATCCGTGTCGATTACAACTCACAAGAACCACAGTCTAACGTCTCTATTCGTCTTGAGTATTCTTTCTCTCTGAAGTGGGACTTCACCCTTAACACTAAGAGCCGAGCCCGCGTGGTATTTTTGTGGCTCTGTTATCTACTTGACCTCACTTTTCACTGTTGTGTTCTGCCTATTACGACCGCTCATCCTGACACCATGGAAAGAGGAACAAAAGGAAATGATTTATTGCCACAGACAGGCTTGATACTATTCCCGCTTACAGCAAAAACACTCAAAGAACAAACACGGCGCACGAGGAACATGCGAGATATAATTTGTCGCATGTATAAAAGTGCACGCGGAGAAAAAGTTCCAACGGTTGGTGATGTTCTTGAACCCTGCTCACTGCTCTATACTGCTTGTCACTTCCCATTTATCACCTCTCATTAACACACACACACAGACACACACACACGCTAACTGCTGGATCGTGTGAATATGCCACCTGTACTGATATGCACATAGCTGACGGGTCCTCATGAATACTGAGCAGACACACGAGGGCGGAGAAGCCGACACCGCTCGCAGAATTACATTGAAAATTTGCAACAACGCGCGGCACCTCCGTCAAGTGACCTCAGCACAAACAACACGCTCAAGCGACAAAAGCCGAACATGCTAATTTGGAAACAGAACAATTATTGTTGCCGGGAAAGCGAGCCAGTGTGATGTAAAACATGCAAACCAAGGCTGTTTATAGCAAACAATAGTGACTGCTGAATAGGCTGTTCAAGTTAATGCTGTAATTATGCAGTAATTATGTTGTTTACTGAATTAGCTGGCAGAAGTACACAAAAAAGTGTGCTGCAAAACTGCCTACAGTATGGCCTTACAGAAAAGTGAAAGCTGCTAAATTGCTTGGTTGGCAATTTGCAAGGGTGTGTGTTTGTGATTACCAGCTTACAAATGGCCACGGCTCTGCGTCACCCTGACAGTTGCTCAATCTAACTGTTATGTATTAACATCAGACTTGTAAAACGACTGTACAGACACGGCGAGGCACCATCCCTCCCAACACTGGCACACCTTTTCGTTTTGTTTTCTTAATTGCATTTCTGTTCAGCTGTATTGTGCCTCTTTGTATTCATTTTGTCTCTGGTTGTGTTTCATCTGTGTGAGTCCCTGTGGTCATTCTGCATTTATCTGCTGTCGTTTACGTCTCTCTCTGTTGTTCAAAGTTTCTTTGTGGTTGTTTTGTATCTCGTTGTGGTCTTTTGATTGACTTTTCAACCACAAATGTTAACAGCTACTTCAAACAGAGTTCCGAGCCAGAGTACACCTTTTGACCCCTTCGGTTTGCTCAAACCCTTCCATGAGTGTGTTACCTGCTGCTGACGTACTCCTCGTCGTCATCTTTCTGCGGTGGTTCTGGAGCAGCGGCTGCCTGGTGTTTCTGCACTATCCTCATGCCTCCTGCCTTCACTGCAACACACACATGCAGGGATACACACGTGTAGTGATTACCACAGCAACTCGGGCAGTTTGTTGAAAGACCTCCAATTTTGTGATAGAATTTTTTTTTAAAGCAAGAAAATGTAAAAATCACAGAAATTGATGTCAAGCAAAACATCCATCCATCCATCCATCCATCCATTATCTATACACCACTTAATCCTCATGAGGGTCGCGGGGGGCTGGAGCCTATCCCAGCTGACTCAGGGCGAAGGCAGGGGACACCCTGGACAGGTCGCCAGTCTATCACAGGGTCAAGCAAAACACTTATGCCATTTTTGGAAAGTCTGGAGAAAGATTTTCCTTGCTGCTTTGTTTGGGATTAACTGGAGAGGCTCTTGGCGTTGTTAAACTGAAAGGTGTGTTGGATGGACGGTGCAGGGTGGACACAGTGAATAATGTAAAAGAGAATTGTTTTAAAAAAAAGAAAGAAAATTGTCCTCGTCTGGACAGAAATATTCCCAACCCAATGCATTTTTACAATTACATTAACATTTTTACTTATCTTTGCTAGAATCATGCTTTGCAAACTAATCAGCCATATAAAGTCTTTTTATGTATCATCATCCATGAGACAAATAACAATTGGAGACGGAAGAGAATTATTTGTTCTACACTCGCCAAGTCTCCTCCCTTTTTGCCACCCAAGTCCGATTTTTTTTGAAAGCTTTCCCAAACTGTTTAAATTACTTCCAAGCAATGAATGGAAGTGGTGCCATTTTTTGCATTGCTTGAAAAAGAAAACTATCTGCATTGTAAAGTGATGAATGCTGACCTGAGCCAGACACACAGTTTCCCTGTCGAGAAACGTTACTCTGTGTCAGAACGAGAAGGGGAATAGAACTTGCTGGTAAATTTCTGTCGCATAAAAGATTTTGGTGTTCATTTAGAAAGCCAAACTTGTCTGTTTTCATGATAAAAATGTTCATGTATTATTATTTTCCTCATCTCCCTTCCTTGTTTTCGTTCACGTATGAAGCTTTTGTGTAAATAAAATCCAATTTTTAAGTTGCAAAGTAGGTTGTCTGCTCCTTAACCGAAAGGTGAAGGTTAAAACGACTGTCATCCTGCCTAAGTGTCCTTAAACAACATTTGTAATCCCTCACAACAGCTGCTCTGACCTCTGGCTCCACTGCTGAGGGGCTGTTAACAGAAAGAAGCCCCCCACATGACCATACCTGCGTGTTAGTTGCAGACTGTGTACCTTGGGCCTCCCATTGATTACAGGTTGGGTGCGAGGGCCGTCGCTTATCTTACTGTGCTATCAGTCCAGCAGCTGCTGTGGCCCAGTGCCACACTGCTCATGTCCACGTACACTTTATGTGTTTTTTTCCTCAGTCCACATCCACAAGCCTGGAGCCTGTGACCTCCACGTCACCACCCAGCAGCCATCCACTGCAACACTGTTTACTAAAAGCTTTACATTGGTCTGAGACAATCACCAATCCTCACAATATCACCAGGTTTTATGTTGTTGCAAGATCTCACCCCAATCAGGAAGTAAAAGGAAATGTGCGAAACTGACTAATATGGCACGTTATACTACATGCAATCTGGACAGCGACAACACGTTATAGTCTCCCAGTGTGAGGGTTGCATAAGTATTGATCACCCTCACATCATCGTGTGATGTGTTCTTTTAGTAGGAGACTCTACAGAAAACAAAGGCCTCCAGGTTGACAAGAAGCTCCACAAAAAAAGCACAGTCGCACACTGAGCTTTACCTGCAGGGGGATGTCCGCCTTTGGTTTCCATTTTCTCCTTCGGCGGCGATGACATGTCGGCTCTGACCTGGAGTCTGGCAGCAGAGAGGGAACCGGAGCGTCTAACAAACGAATTCCTGCTTTATTCTGCCTCAAATTGTGGGCTACGCTTCAGTATGGATCGTCAACGTGGCTTTTTCCTGAGCATTGTTTGGAAACGGTGCGTGATGACGTCACGCGCAACCGTAGGAGGCGCGCTGACGTCAGTCGTGTAGTTGAAATATTTTTTAAAACCCCATATTACTAATTTAAAAACGTTTAAACAAGCAATATGCAAATTACACCTTCTAAAAAAAAAATCAACATTATTTTTGATTAGTATACACAAGCGATAACAGATACTACTACTACTCGTACTAAACAAACAAGCATACTCACTCTGACTTCCATTCCTCTTTTTTATTCTGTTTTTACTTTTGACATCTTTAAGTTTTATATTGTTAATGTGAATGTGTTTTAACTTTGTTACTTTGTACAGTGTCCATAGGTGTTTTGAAAGGCGCCTATAAATAAAATGTATCATTATTACTACTACTGTAGTATTTTTTTATGTAGGCTATATTGTTGTATACTTCTGATATATATATATATAAAAATATATGTATGTATGTATGTATGTATGTATGTATGTATGTATGTATGTATGTATTTATGTATTTATGTAAACATTAACTGCAGCCTTTGGAAAAAGAATAATGTGTTGCACTACTCCTAAATCTGAAAAAATCATGTTTTTCAAAGGATGATCGCCTTAACAATCCTTCTGCACAAAATTGAGAAGCATGTAAATGTTTGAATTGCTGGAAAGAGACAGGTTCCATGTTTATTTCCTGATTTATCTCATTGCCAACTATTGAAAGCTTTTCTGCGTTGATTTCTTGTACACAAACTGTCATATACAGTTTTCTTCTGACAAAAGAAAACTTACCTGCACAAATTTGAAATATATGCGTGGGTGACAAATCTGTGCCATACACAGAGTAATCATGTTATTTTGTCAGCAAACCAGAGTCATAATAAAACGTTAAAGGCTTTATGACCACAAACGCTGAATCTAAAGGTCTAACTGAGTTCATGAGCTAATGTCTAACCTAATTACTATGTAAACGTTAATTGTTGGAATAGACACCATAGCTTTCCAGTTTATTATTTATTGTACATATCACTAAAAGCACAGACGACAAAAGCCAAAAGGCACAAAATAAGTGCCTAGAGTAGCCATCCACCTACACAGCCTGTAAAACAGAAGCATTTATTAAGCGGAGATCTCTTCTAATGAAGCAGCCTGGTTCCATCTCTCATCACTGTCGTGCCAAAGCGACAGCGGCAGGGTGAGCAATAAAAGGCAAAAGAGACAATCCAACAGACAAAAAGCAAACTGCAGTAAGCATGTGTGTGATTGCAATGACCTCAGTGACCACCTACTTTCAGTTTTCACACCATAAGCTCGCAGTTGTTCATTAATTGGCTGACATGACAGTGTGGGCAGAGCTAAGATTTGCAGGCACAGCGAGTGTTACAGGGAACCAAGAAAGGACAAAAAAAAGAAAAAAAAAGGAATAAGCATGAAAACAAGGATTATTGTTTCAATGTATGTGTGCTTCTGAGTCTATTCATGCAGGATAGTAGTGCAAAAACTATACTGAAAAAGTATCTGTGTGAGGTGCTTGGTGTGTGTTCAGCTGCTAATTTACAATTTAACAGATTTCAGATATGAAAGTTCAAATTGAAATTTTATTTGTTTAAATGTTTGGTTTACATTATGTGATATCTCTGTGGAGTGATAATTCTGATGCATACATTAACATGTGTCTGCATATGTGTGTGTGTGCATGTGGCCACAGTGCTGCATGCAGGGCAGTCGTAAACCCTGCAATGGTGTAATTGCTGCTTGAAGTGGCAGCTGTGTTCTTCAGAAAAGTGATGTTCACTGCACATTTCACACACACATGAATTTTAATTATTCATTTGAATACACACTACAAGAAAAAAAAAAAGAGCACAGATGCAACCAAATAATTTGCAAGACCTGTTTGTTGCATATGTTAGATGGCAAGTGATGTCACACCACACCCACAGGTTGAACTCACACACACAGACTGCTGATGAGCAATGGCTTTTGGCAGTGGCGAGGTGGTCAGCATCACATTTGTCCTCAAAGTGAAAGAATCTGTTGCCAGGACATGAGTCCCTGAGGAGGGTGGTGACAACCAATCAAAGGGCCGGGAGTTCACTCACAGGTCAGGATGCAGTCCGCTCATAAAAAGATGAATTGTGATGTGTGATTAAAATGCTTGGACTTCACTCTTATTTAAACAGACAAGATGATTAATATGTCATTCTCACTGACAGCAGCAGCAGCCTCGGGGAGGATTTCTTGCAGGGGGGGGAGTTTTCCTCTATTTTCCCCAAATTGTACTGACATTAAGCCCTTTCTGCGGTGCCACACCTGTCTCTGAAAGCCTGGATTGTCACCGTTTTATGTAATCTCCCCGCTGTGTGTGATCTGTGTATTTGAACTGTCTGATTAAGGCCACAGAAAGAAAGTATTACATTTAGAGCTTAATGCGTGAAAAGAGTAGTTTTCTGAGACTCAGGGGACTCAGCTGTACTCATATGTGAGCAACAGTTTTGAAGAAGAAACACTCAACTGTGGATTCTGCAGCAGCAATGAGATGAAATGAATAACAAGTTAAGGCAAACCCCAGTGTACCTCCTTAAAGTCAAAACACTTGTGATATAAAAAGACAAACAAAAGAAGAATGGTGAAATTCAAATCAACTCAGGCTGATATATTTGAGAGATTTAGTCTAATAAAAGATAAAGAGCTGACATTTCCCAGAATGCACCTTGGTTGCATCTTTTGTTCAACTTTTTATATCCTTTTATTTTTTATTATTAATTTTTCCAAGACAACTATTACATGACATATGGCATTGTCAGAGCTATTCTTTATACTTGAGAAAGGTTCTTCCAGAGTCACAGAAGACATCATACAACTGTTTTTACAAGTATTTTTCTCAATGACAGCTAAACTGACTATGACATTTCCTCGATTTGTATTTATAAATGCAACTGAGACTGGCTGATTGTTTCCTATTACCTTTAACAGTCTAAATTGATGTCAAATGCAAAATGTGACGAACTTCATTTTAATGCGGGCAAGCTCGGGGTGCATCATTGAAGATTAAACATCTACTGAAATCAAAACTCGTCTTAATATTGTGATATTTATCTCCAGCACGAACTACAACCCACTGCTGCATGTGTATGAGCATATGTGGCTCTGCCTGTCGTTGCACTCATCCATGAATGCATGAGTGTGTGCACATATGTGGCCACTAGATGGAAGAATACAGCTTCACTACATTGGAGAAGCGTCTCCAGTTGTGTATGTGGGAGTTTGTGTCCTGCAGGATTCATCATCACTGTCACTCCAACAAAGCTCAGCCAGCGATGTCCCAGAAAAACTGAAGAGTCACTGATAGAAACTGAACAACTCTGAAGTTAAAGGCAAATAGAGAGCTCCACATGCAGCTCATTTTCCCCTCCCTCTCACGCTTTTGTGACACTCTCCCTCCACCCTTCTTTCTGTTCCTTTGCGTTTTTCTCTCTCTCTCTCTGATGTACACACACATGGAGACTGAGCGCGAGGGATAGCATTCATTACTTAGGGTGAAAATACATGGCGCACATTCAAACTGCCATAGGTGCAATCCTCTTCAGAAGTCAGTGATCTCAACACCTGCCCATGGCTGATATGACTGTGTGTGCATGTGTGTGTGGGTTTGTGTGCATGTGTGTGTGTGTGTGTGTGTGTGTGTGTGTGTTGCTCGGGCCTTAGAGAGGAGCACTCTCAGTGACGGCTTACAGAGAGACAGAATGAGGACGTCACAGGTGAGTGAATTTGTTCAAACTGACAGGTGTACATGCGCGCGCACACACACACACACACACACTCTTTCTCTCACACACATGCAGCCATGTCTCTGACATACATATCCTCTCTCTCTCTCTCTCTCTCTCTCTCACATACACACACACACACACACACACATACTGACGTAGCTCTGTGGGAGCCAGCTGGGTCCTCTGCAGCAGCACTATCACACATGAATAACCAAGGCTTCTGCTCTGCTCTGCAGCATTGACTATTCAATACCTGACAGGGTGCCTTATGGTGTAGGTGTGTGTGTGTGTCAGTGTGTGTGTGTGTGTGTGTGTGTGCATGTGACAGAGAACCATCCATATGAGCATACACTTAGTCGCATGTGTCTGTGTCAATCTCTGTCAAACTAAAACAGAGTGAAAAGTGAGAAAAAGGGAAGGCGAGAAGAACCAGGGCAACATGCAGATCGATTAGCGATCCTGGGATGGTTTATTGAACACCGCGGCTTTATTCCCTTAGCTCTTGATCTCCTCCACATTAAAGCTGTACTTAAGTTTACGAGTAAATGTTTGTCTCACAAAAGTCAACTCTCTCATAACTGGATGTATCTGAGGCAACCTTATTTTAATTGCAACTGAACCATGTGTGCAAAAATACTTGCACATTTCTGTATGTTTTGATGGATTTTCTTCCACATAATAAAAGGCTACAATTTGTTGTGCATGCTAGATTGAATTCAGAGGCTGCAGAGTTAATAAAATGAAAAACTACTTGTTTTTATGTCTCTTCCTGTGCACAGGTTTATGTTGAGACAGGTTCAGCCGTGATTAGGAGTTGTTCATTCTATGTGGAATGGCCACCTATCTCAGGTATTGATTTTTAGCCATGCTAGCGGCAGACTGCAGGCTGATCAGTCCACCACTTTGGACAAGACTGAAATATCTCAACAATTACTGGATGGACTGCTGCAAAATATGGTGCAAGCGCAAAGGATGTTTCCTAGGGAAGGAACTTTTGTCTAGTGGCTTTGTGAGTTTTATATTTTTTTGTTTTTTAGTTAAATACCTCATGAATGAGGCGCTGCTATAGCTCACCTGGTTGAGCTGGTGCATGTATAAGGGCTACAGTCCCCAACGCAGTGGTCATGGGTTTGAGTCCTGCTCATGACCCTTTGCTGCAGGTCCTTCCCCCATTCTTCTCCCCCCACTTTCCTGTCTCTCTCTCTCTCTCTGTCCTATCTAAAAAGGCCAAAAAATATCTTGAAAAAAAATACATCTC